GCATTGTGTTCCAATTGCCTACAGTATTCAGTACAGTAGCATGCTTTACCGGTCTGTAGCCTAGGAGCAATAGGCTGTCTACCACATAGCCTGGGAGTGTGGTTGGCTCTATCACGTAGGTTTGTGTAAGTACACTCTGTGATAGGCACGCAATGACAGCATGGCCTAATGACGTATTTCTCAGAACGTGTTTCTGTCGTTAAGCCACATATGACTCTACGTTCTCTCACTCTCTCTCTCAGTCTGTTAACCCTGCTAATTTGAGAAGCCCATGTCCTAAACTACTTAATCTTCTCTTGAACTTTTTTCACCTCTCAGGACCCAGTCATTCAAATGCCAGCAACAGAATTTGTCTAATTCCCTAATCAATAACTTTACTGTTAGCCATAATCCCCGATGATGCCTTAATTTTGGCTTACCTTACATTTCTTAGATGGACATGCCATTTTTTAAAAACTCAAGGCAGTCTGTATTTTTATTTTAAAGGGCATGGGAAGGTTTTTTGTTGTTGTTTTTCTGGGAGAGAGACGGGATGTTTTCAAAAGTCACTCTGTTTGTATTCAGGTAGAGCCAAAATTTAAAGTAGTCTTTGAACTTACCTTACATGTTCACATTTAAGAAAGGCATGTTTCATTTGCTAAAGAATTGTTTTAAGTGAAGTTGAATTTTGAAAACATTATTTTTAGTTCACCAGTTTTTAAAAAAAGTTGGCTCTTTTTGAGTATAATCTATGATCAATGTATGAAAATATTTTTTGCCACTCAATTACTGTGCTCAGACTTTGAAAATTAAAAAACAATTAAGGATTGAATTAGTTCCAAATATTATAGTACTAATTAAACACAATTATCAAAATTTCTGTGCGCTTTACTTAAAAAGAAAAATGATCAGTAATTATTTATTTGGGGTCCAGATTTCTTCTTGGGATCTAAATATAAGTTCTGTAGATTTGTGGCATTTACAAGAACTTTCTCAGTGCCTTTCAATTCTTACCCAAGCCTTCTTCAATGGAGAGTGGCTGTTAGTCAATACTGGCTGTTTTTGCCAAGGCTAGACCACAACTCTGCCTACCTTATGGCTTGTATCACTTAAAGTTTGTCTGTCAGTTTTCCCATTAACTGGCTAAGTTTCTCAGGTTGTCTTCCATGCTTTAAAAAATTATCTACTGACTTAATATTTTATTCTGTCATTATGGTAAGGATTTTCCACTAGATTATAAGCTACAGAGGACGGGAATTTGCGTGTTTGTGTGTGTGTGTGTGTGTGTGTGTGTGTGTGTGTGTGTGTGTGTTTGTGTTTTGCTACCTTTTTTCTAAAACCCAGACCTGTTCTTGGCACAGACTAAGTAATCAAAAATATGTTTGTGACCGGTGAACATTCTGAGATGATACGCATTTGGAAAATTTCGCTTTATGTGTTTGTGGGTCAGCGCTTCGGCCTGGCTTCTTCTCAGATGGACACGGAAGTCCTGTAGTGGACTTCACCTGGCTCCAACTGTATTTAAGTCTGCACTTCTGGAGCGGTCCGGAGGCCCCCAAATTTTTGTTCCTGTTGATTTTTCCCTGACAGCAGACAAAGCCTCACACTGCCCTCAATTCCCACCCCCCACTCTTTATTTCTTTTGAAGGATCAGTTTTCCATAGTACTCATCTTGTTTTCATAGTGTTAGAAGCTGTATTTTTGTACAGGAAAATAATGTTCGCAACATTAATCGCTAATAAACATTGTGTTAAACAGTAATAAAGGAAGGAATTCTTGTTTAATAAATGGACATGCAAGAAAAAAATGTGTTGAATGGTTAAGTGCCAATTCTTGAAGGCAGTTTTATTCTATGTGCTGGTGACATATGGGATAATAGGAAGCAAAATAAACACCAGCTTGTTTCAGGGAGCTTATATGAGGGAGTGATCATATGCACAGATGTCAAATTTCCAATGTGACAGTGCTATAAAACAGAGGTACAAAGTGTTGTGAGGGTCTAGATGAATGAGTTCTTGCTGGGAGACATCTAAGAAGAGCTCCCTGAAGAAATAGCTTGAGTTGAAACCAAAGCATGAGTAGGTAGTCACCACTGGAATAGGAGAAGAAAGTTCCAGAATGTTTAGTTTCACCTCAGTTCAATTCTGTCCCTCTTACTCTCATGTTTCCCATGGTATTTATTACCACAGGCCCTCCCCTCCCCCCGCTGACTCCTTAGTTTGTTAGTTTGTTAGCTGCCCATGGACTTCTGCATACAGTGTATGTACGTCTCCTTTTAGGAAACAGCCGAAACACTTACCCTCTGTTAAAAATGTTATTATTATTTCAGGAATGAAGGAGGCAATCCCAAAGAGAAACATGAATGAATAAGGAAAACATCTACCCATCTACTTATTTACTTTAACTGTTGTGTGCTTAGGCAAGTGCCATGTGATAAGGACTTACTAGATTTTGACTGACTGGTTAGTTAGTCACTTAGCTGGTAGGCTGGATGACTGGTTTGCTGGCTGGACAGATATTGGGTGGTTGGTTGATTGGGTGTTTGGTGAATAGAGGTAAAAGTGGTAGATTCGCTTTGGGTTTGTTTTTTTTTTTGGCGGGGGGGGGTTGAGTGGGAGTCTTCACTCTGTCATCCAGGCTGGAGTGTAGTGGCACACTCACGGCCGCAGCAGCCTCAACCTGCTGAGTTCAGGCGATCCTTCCGCCTCAGCCTTCCAAGTCGCTGGGAACAACAGGTGTACACCACCATGCCTGGCTAATTTTTTGATTTATTGTAGAGATGAGGTCTCACCAAGTTGCCCAGGCTGGTTTCAATCTCCTGGGGTTAGGCAATCCTCTCACCTCAGTCTCCCAAAGTGCTGGGATTATAGGCATGAGCCACTGCCCTGGCCCACTTCAGTTTTTAAAGTCAGAGTAATTTTATTCAGATTCTGGCTAACCTTTCATTTCCTTTATAACATTGAACAATTTGCTTAAGCTCTGTAAGTCTCCATTTGTTCTATAAATAGTACTTTTCTCATGGAATTATTATTATTATTATTATTATTTTAAGTTGGAGTCTCACTCTGTCGCCCAGGCTGGAGTGCAGTGGCCGCTCCCAGCCACCGCAGCCTCGCCTGCTGGGCTCTGGCGATCCTTCCGCCTCAGCCTTCCAAGTAGCCAGAATTACAGGCATGCACTACCACGCCCAGCTGATTTTTTGATTTATTGTAGAGATGAAGTCTCGCTGCCCAGGCGGGTCTCGAACCCGCGGACTCAGGCAATCTACTCACCTCAGCCTCCCAAAGGCGCGAGATTACAGGCTGAGCCACCGAGCCCGGCTGGAATTATTTTAAGGGTAAAGGTGGTATGTGTATATTCCTATAGCATGGTACCTAGGATATATTAAATGTTCAATATTTTAAAGGAAAGAAAGAAGCTTGAGTGCTTTTTCCAAAAGGAGAAAAATTAGTGAAAGCAAATGATTAGTCTGGGTTTAAATGTTAGCCCTGTTCATCTTAGTCCTTCAAATATATTTTACTGCTGCAAATACATATCTGTTGCAGAAGTACCCATACCTAAGAAGTATAGAAATCATGTAGAAAATGCACAAACAGCTGGGCATGGTGGCTCATGCCTATAATCCCAGCACTTTGGGAGGCAGATGAGTAAGGATTGCCTGAGCCCAGGGGTTCGAGACCAGCCTGGGCAACTTGCCGAGTCCTCATCTCTACAATAAATAAAAAATTAGCTGGGTGTAGTGGCTCATGCTTGTAGTTCCAGCTACTTGGAAGGCCAAGGCAGAAGGATCACCTGGGCCCAGCAGGTTGAGACTACGGTGGCTTGCAAGCATGTCACTGTACTCCATCCTGGGAAACAGAGTGAGACTCCAACTCAAAAAAGATAAATAAATAAAAAGAAGACACATGAACTATTTTTTTCCTTGACAAATTAAAATTTAATTATCTCCAAACTCTCTCCTCCTCCCACTCTTCTTCATTGCCCTCTCATTACATGACTGTAGAGCTTGTTAGGATAATAATTTTCTCTATCAAAAAAGAGGGGAGGCGTATGATATATTATTTCTTGGCACAGATGATGGTGGTTACCTAGGTGTTTGCTTTATAATTATTTGCTAAATGGAACATTAAGTTTTATGTATTTTATTTGCACACTCACACATACACATAGAGGAGGCGAATTTGGCATGTAAGAATGTGATGGAATGGCATGGAAAACACCTACGAATTTAAACCTAGGTTAGGTCTATATAAGCAAATGGGAAGGAATATTGCCAAGCATGATGGCTCATGCCTGTAATTCCAGCAATTTGGGAGGCCAAAGAGGAAGGATTGCTTGAGGCTGGGTGTTCGAGACCAGCCTGGGCAACATAGTGAGACCTCATCTCTACTCCCTCCAAAAAATGAAATTAGGCAGCCATAGTGACAGGACACCTCTAGTTCCAGCTACTCTGGAGACTGAGGCAAAAGTATCACCTGAGCCCAGGAGGTGCAGGTTGCCGTGAGCTGTGATTGTGCCACTGAACTCCAGCCTGGGAGACAGAATGAGACTCCAACTCAGAAAAAGGAAAAAAAAAAAAAAAGAAATATGCAAGCCATAAACCCCGACTGTAAACAAGAGGATTTATTCCAACTACTCCAGATTAACTATTTCTATCTCTGTGTCATAAGTTGAGAGAATAGAGTGACAAATGACTAAATTTTTATTTGTTTTGCTTGTTTGTCTATCTATATAGATGTTACCTACACTAGAGAATTACAGGGCAAGATCTTTCCATGTTATGTACCACTAACTTAACACTGGGCATGGAGAACTTCTCTATGACAAAACTCTTAGAGACCTTGATGAGTAGAGCCACTTTGCACAGACACTCTGTCCCGTCTCTTCCCACCTTCATCGTCTATGTTTGTGCCGTGAGGACAGGATTTCAGAGCAAGCTGCCCTGGTTTATTTAATGCCATCGGAAATGAAGTTGGGAATGACACCGCTTTATTATTAACAAGAAGCTTTTGGCTTTTCAGCGCCGACTGGGAGATGCAGCTAAGAAAGCCATCAGCAAGCTCCAGGTCCGGACCATCAGGAAGGGTGACAAGGTAGGAGGCTTTTCTCTTTTTGGGTTGGAAACTATTCAGAGAAGCTCCCGACTTTTCTGATAACCAGAGTAGAAGAGAGGGAAGAATGGAAAAGGGAAATATATGCTAATCGTTGTCCTAATGTGTCTGTTATTTATGCTCTTCTTTATTAAATATAACTTAAAGCAGTTTATAAAATGAAGACAATAGGATAATAAAATAGTTGGATAGAAAATATGAGACCCTGGAAACCAAGTGTACCAAAAAATAGATGGAGCCAGGATGAAATTACTAAACAAATGCATGATCTGAAATGTGTAACAAAAATGATTCTCAAATTTAGGTTGGGCTTTCTAGCAGCCAGTGCAAAGAAGGAGCCAGTATTCAATATTCGGGCTGAGTACCATGGCTCACGCCTATAATCCCAGTGTTTTGGAAGACTCAGGCAAGAGGACTGCTTGAGCCCAGGAGGCCGAGACCGGCCTGGGCAACATAGTGAGACCTCGTCTTTTCAAAAAATTATCTGGGTATGATGTGCATGCTGGTAGTCCCAGCTACTCAGGAGACTAAGGTGGGAGGATCACCTGAGCCCAGGAGGCAGAGGCTGTGATGAGCCATGACCATGCCACTGCACTCCAGTCCAGGGACAAAGTGAGACCCCAACTCAAAAAAAAAAAAAAAAAACAATCAGCATTCAAGCCATGTTGAATTACCTTATTCCAGCATCCCACAGATAGAAAGAAATTGGTTGTTTCTCATGTGATGACCTGAGAAAGTTGTTCCATGAATCCTTGCAAGGAAGACAGCATTGTGTGATGAGCTATGTTCTCCACAGTATAAATACAGGAAGTATATTCAGTCCCTCTGAAATCGGATATTCAGAACCCCAAAGTCATTGCAACAGCCTCCCTCGCTTTGGAATGACGGTATAAAGCCAAAATCAATAGTATATCTTGAGGCGAGACAAAAAGCAGTCCAGGTCAGGCACCGTGGCTCACACCTATAATCCCAGTACTTTGGGATACCGAGGTGGGTAGACAGCTTGAGCCCAAGAGTTCCAGACCAGCCTGGGCAACATAGTGAGACCCCAGCTCTACAAAAAAAAATTTTTTTAAATTAGCTGGGCATGGTGGTGCATGTCTCTAGTCCCAGCTACTCAGGAGGCTCAGGCAGGAGGATTACCTGAGCCCAGGGGGTTGAGGCTGCAATGAATTGTGATTGTGCCACTCACTCCAGCCTGGGCAACAGAGTGAGATCCTGACTCAAAATATGTATATATTTACTTATTTATTTTATATACTAGATTCCAGAGGAATGGATAGATTAAATATCACTCAGTCAGTGTTCCATAAATATTGTTTCTCATCCTTGAGATTTTGGTATGTCGCCTCTAATTAAAATTCATAGCATCATTAGTAGTGGTAATTGAGAAAGTGATTTTCCTCAAAAAAGTGCTGGTAGTGGAACCTAGAAAAAAAAAAGTAGAGGTTGGAAGGAACGAAAACAAAGCTAACAGATAGAAAGTGATTGAGAAACTGGTACCAGGACTGCTGAAAGCTTTGCTCCAGGCAAGTTCTCCTTCAGTTTGTTGTGTTGGTATTTAGACAGGGATTGAAGCTAAAAAAAAGTCGGCTCACCTGTGCTTCCTCTGTTGCAGGAAACAGAGCCCGATTTTGACAACTGTGCAGTTTGTATAGAAGGCTACAAGCCCAACGACGTGGTCAGAATCCTGCCCTGCCGGTGAGTTGCAAGATTGCCTGCTTCTGATGGGGTAGTATGTGGTGCGTGCCTGCCTGACCTCACTGGCTCGGACCTGCTGGGTTTCGCTTTACATGATTAGTCGGCCTCAGTGTTTCCCTGTTTACATTGCAGACAGCCAGAACACTCTTGTTTGTGTGCAACCTTTGTCCTTGAAAATATTTTGTATCATGAAATCAGAAATTTTTTTTTGTTCCCCTTTGCATCAAAGTAAGTATATGACTATGAACTAGAACCTCGTGATACGGTAATTTGATGATGTGGCCTCCGAGGACACATTTTCTTGAGCAACAGATCCTTGATGTTCAGAATCAATTCTGGCTTTTGCCAGTAATCGTTTTGTTAACATAATACACTCTTAAAAATATTTTGTGAATGATCATGAAGGGCTTAGCCATCACAATATAGTCAATAGTAAGTTGGGGCCAGGCGTGGTGGCTCATGCCTGTAATCCCAGCACTCTGAGAGGCTAAAGCAGGAGGATTGCTTGAGCCCAGGAGCTCGAGACCAGCCTGGGTAACACAGTGAGACCTCATCTCTACAAAAAATAAAATAAAAAATTAGGACATGATGGTGCATACCTGTAGCCCCAGCTACTCGGAAGGCTGAAGTGGAAGGATTGCCTGAGCCCAGGAAGTCGGAAGTCAAGACTGTGGTGAGCCATGATTGGCCCACTGCACTTCAGCCTGGGTAACACAGTGGGACCCTGACTCAAAAAATAAAAATGAGTAAGTAGGAAGCCAAAGGCAGACTCCATTCATTTTTACATTTTACTGACAGAAAGAGAATGTGACACTCAAATTTCCCCCAAATTCTTGAATTTGAGGAGTATGCCAGCACGTATAGTTGACAACTAACTCCCCAGGTGATTCTAATATAATCTTAGTTTCTCTCCCTAATTGCAATTCACAGTGAAGGTGTCTGAGTTCTTTTTAAATTGTTAACAGTAAATAAATGTAAATACTCTAATGAAATTGAGCATTTTAAAGCTGCATAAAAGCCATTCTCCTTAATGGAAAACCGTTTTTAGTGGTTTTTTTTTTTCATATTAAGTGTCCTAAAAATAAAAATGAGATTACATCTTGATGAAAGAGACTTCATTTATAAAGATTGACTTTAAAAACTCTCAGAGAATTTGAAAGTAAATACATAGGAAAAAATACAACAATAGAAAATAAACCATTTGCCCATGAAGCAACACAAACTTAAAAACTGTTTGTTAGAAACACAAAAGAAACAAAATATGGATTTAGAGGACTGATTTAATAATCCCCAAACCAAGAGGTGACAAAAAAGGACAAGATATTCAAATAGATGCAGAAACCCCCAAGGGAACTGGATCTTAGTTGAAGTGCCCACAGGCAAACTGGTCACCAGGAAAATGGGCATTAGGAAAGCATGTCCAGATGGCCTCCGTAAAGACCTGCAAGTGTGACTCCGTTTCCCTTAGTATGTAGATGTCTGACCCTAAGACCAAATCATAAATCAAGACTCATGAAGATTTATCAGTTTCCTTCTTATGAGGTTACTGCATATAAATACTTTCTACACATTACATTTAGTACTTCCTTGGTGATTTCCAGAAACACTGGCAAAGAAAGGCAGTATGTGAACTATGAAATGCCTCTCGAGGTAACATCTTTTTTCTCTGCAGTATTTTATTAAAGATTTCATAGAGTCTCATGGTTATAAATAAGTATTTTCCTTTAATTTTCTACCTGGAGATTTTTTCATACCCTATAAGGATACTAATAAAAAAAATTAAAGCCAATTAAAGTTAACTATCTACTTTTTCCTGAGAATTCAAATAAATTTATACACATAATTGAGATCTGTTTTAAAATTTACATATGTATAGCTTAGTTTAGATCTAAAATTCATACAGTGTAAAATAATTTATTAACTTAAAGTTCTGTCATGAATAAATTTCATGTTACTACATACACATAATTGCTGGAGGCTGCATGCATATTATCTAAGCCATAGGTGTTCTACAATTGAATTCTCCATGTCTTAGTTTGGGAAGATTTGGTGATTTCAGATTTTTATTTGTGGTCTGGTACAATGGTTCCTGTAATCCCAGTGCTTTGAGAGGCCAGAGCAGGAGAATCACTTGAGACCAGGAGTTCAAGACCAGCCTGAGCAACATAGCAATACCACCATCTCTCAAAAAAATAAAAAACTAGCCAGGCATGGTGGCGCACACCTGTAGGTCCAGGCACCTGGAAGGCTAAGGGAGGATCAGGATCACTTGAGCTCAGTAGTTTGAAGCTATGATTAGCTATGAATACTCCACTGCATTCCAGCCTGGGTGACCCCAAGATACTGCCTCTTAAAAAAAAAAAAAAAAATTATGACAAATTGCATTATTTTAACAGTATTTAGATTTTCATGATCTATTATTACAGATCTCCTCTTACATATAATTTTTTGAAAATATTAACCAAGAAAATAGCATTTTAATATTTGTCACCCAAAAATAACTTTAGGAACTTTAATTTCATTTACTTTATCCCCTGCTCAAGGCCAGATCAGTTTGTCTTCATGTTCTTCCGTTTTAAAATGATTATTTGGTTCTCAGCTCATTCTGGGATTCTTTTTGCTTTAAGCTTCTTACTGTACATCTTTTATTTCCTTATTGTGGATCCTGCTTTAAATAACAAAATATATTTGCGCATTTCCAAACACAGTGCTAGTTCATTACTGTCTGATCTTATGCTAGTCACACGTATCTACTCTTTGAATAGCTCATGCATTTTTTTCCATGATGATTTTAAAATCAAGATATTTTTATGCCTATTGCTGGTTTCTGCCAGACAGTTTGCACTAATAGATATTATCAAACAAATGCTCTGGCATTTGCTTTTAGTTAGATAATTTTCTCCGGGGTATCATTAAACCTTTGCTCCTATGAACTTCCCAGATTCTCTTTCTCCTTATTCTGCCGACTCATCCACAGAATTCATTGCATCTCCTTCGAGTAAAAACTGTTTCAAAATATGTTCCAGCTTATCATCTCCTGTCACCTTGTAACTCCTGGCATACTAGGTGCATCTCTTCTCTATGGCTTCCATTTAGGATATCTTTCCAAGTCACCCAGGTATATTCTGTACCACGACTTTATTTATTTATTAATTTTTAATTTTTATTTTTTTGAGTTGGAGTCTCATTCTGTTGCCCAGGTTCGAGTGCAGAGGCACAATCACAGCCTTCACCACCTGGGCTCAGGAGATCCTTCCACCTCAGCCTTCTGAGTACCTGGGACTACAGGTGCAGCACACCACAATACCGGCTTTTTTTTTTTTTTTCCATTGTAGAAACAAGGTCTCACTATGTTGCCCAGGCTTGTCTCCAACCTGGGCTTGAGCAATCCTCCTGACTCCACCTCTCAAAATGTTGGGATTGGATTACAGGCATGAGCCGCTGCACCAGCTGACTTTTTCAAAATTACTCTCTTCTTTGTCCCTACTGAGGCCCCGTACAAAATATGATTAAGTAGAAAATGCCTTCCTTTTTTTTACATGAGGTCTAACAATTAAGTTCACGAATTTATCCTAGAAAAAGTGCTGCGTACTTCACTGCCGAATATCATTATGATATCCTTAGAAGTACCTCCCTTGGGAAGCTATGTACTGACTCCAGTGCCTAGTCCACCCATCAAAGCAGTTTTAGTACTCTTTTTCTGGAATGGCCATCAGAGCTGTCATCATATTACCCTTGACATCTTGAATGTCATCAAAATGTCTTCTTTTGAATATTTCCTATATCTTTAGGTAAAGAAAAAAGTCACTGGGAGTCAGATCAGGTAGGGAAGATGTTCTAATACAGTTATTTGTTTGCTGCCTAAAAACTTCCTCACAGATGGTGCTGTGTAAGCTGGTGCATTGTCATGATGCAAGAACTCTTTCAGGACCATTTTTGCACAGTTGTTTCTCATGCCAAAATTTTCAGTTAAGATTTCTCTGTTTCTCTATTGATGTTTATTTGGTCTGCTATGCTTCTCACAGTCAGTCAATGATTTTGATGCACAACTTGACAAATTTTTGCAAGGTTTTCATCAGTTCTGCTTGTTACTGAATTGTCCTGACCACTCTTCATCAGTGGCCCTTTCTCTCCCCTCATAAAAACATTTAATCCATGGATACGCTGCCATTTTCTTCACGGCATTATCCCCATAAACTTGGATTAACACATCCCTGATTTCACTTCCACTTTTGCCAAGTTTAACAAGAATTTTAATGTGTGATCGCTGCTCTCATTCAAGCTCTGAGATTCTCACAAGGGCACACAAAGACACGCAACAACAATAATGAACACCACTCAGCAAAACACCACTACACATTAACACAAACACAGCTATGAGACATTGATATGCCAAGGCTGTGAAACCTTACTGAGTGATTTGTACAGTGCTGCCAACACAAGTGCACGGTGATGAGTTCGTGAAATTAATTGTCAAATGGTCTATGTAGTCATGGCAACTATTAAAATTAAGTTGTGCATATACTCACCTACCACTTCTTCCCCTTCATTCTTTCTTCTTCCTTCTCTGGCACATGAGGGCGAGCCGCCTCCCCTCCAGGGTGAGTCTGGACATGTGCATGTCCCATGAGGGACAGACCCTTGGCTGCACACAGAACACTTCATTGTTGGACAGGTCTAACATCTGCAGCTTGGATTTTATCCTAATACCCCACTACGGCATTTTTCAAGACATATGACATAGCATGTATTATATTATATCTTCAGGCTGTTTTTTTAAAGTTCAGATTGGTATTTGCGATTATGATTTTTTAGCCACAAGATATTTTATTGAAGTATTTTGTTGAAATTGTACTGTCTTCTCTTGTCCAGAGAACAAGTTAGTCTTGCTGATCCTTCCATGGCTTTTATCATGTGGTGTCCCTGCCATTCTTCAAGGATAATTCATTTCAGTTTGTTTAACTACCTGATTTCAATGTCTCACAAAGAATATAAATTCT